CCGTGTGTGTTCCCATCGTAAGTACGTGCGGGCGCACGCACACAATGCACAAAATATTACGGTGCCGACGGAGGATCCTCTCTTATTCCCCGCCGGTATTCGTTTGCCGCTTTCTTTTGTGGAAATGAAGAAGGGAGAGACACCGGGAGGGGGTCACGTTGCGGTTCTCTCTCATTTTGTGTGCAGCGCACCGCGTGCAGCATGATTGGTTCGAAATGCGGTATCTCCCGGTACATCGAAGGGGCACGAGGTGAGAGACTCCTCTTGTCAGCTGTTGGCGCACGTGATTGTGCGTCTGCGGCGGAGTTGGGCCTTTTGCGTGTTTGTGTCTCTTCTGTAGATGTGCGATGGCGGTGGCGGTGGGCGAATGTTTTTGGTTGCACTTTTGTGCGTTGCTGTGGTTGATCCCTGCGTGGTGTGCGTGTGGCCCCAAAACAAAGTTGTTCGAGGGCACACTTGTCGGCACGATGGCCGCAGCGTGTGGCTGCCACTCTGTTCTCTCGAGAGATATGCCGCGACGCTTTTACGTGTGTGTTATTTCGGGGACAATGTGCTGGTGGCTGTGTGATTGCCGGGTGGAGGGAGAGTAGCGGAGGGAAGTGCGTGGGTGCAGCGGTCAGGAGTCGCGCTGGGTGTCTTGCCGCGGAGGGCATTGCCCACCCAGCCCAGCACTGCTCCTGTCGGCACCCTCTCTCTCACACTGCAGCATCGTAACCGACGCCAGTGGCACGCAGCGAGGCAGTGGAATCTGCCACTGACACCAGTGCGACCGGAAGGGACGCGTCTGCTGTTGCGTTCCGAGGGGGCACTCCGTGTGGCACAGTGGCATGCCCAAAAAGCCCCTCGCGGAGTCCGCACACGACACCGGGCACTGGCCGCGGAGTGTTTGCGTCGTGGAGGACACTGCGGTGGAGTTCCTCCTCATTCCATGTTGACGGACGCCTGATTTTCTTCTTTTTTCCATCCAGGCGAATGGCTGCGCGGTGATACCACAACAAAATGAAGCATTCGTTTTCACCATGGAGGGGCGATATCCGTGGTGCTATGCATTGGGGATGTAAATGACGAATGCAATATTGAAGGCAGTGTCATGGTTCTTTTGTACTGAGCGAATTGCAAAAAAATTCGATAAAAAATATATACATATATACATATATTTTCCCTGTGGGAGCTTACCGTGATGCGCCGCTGTTGTGGCGTGTGTTTTTGTGTTCCCTGCGTTTGGCCGTTGCTGTACCGAATTCTCTTCCCACTTTTGTGGGTTTGTACGTGTCAGTGACGATATGCCCACGTCCTTTTGTGGAGTGTGTGCGGTGGACGGCGGTGCCACACGGATGCGGGACCGTAGCGAGCGGTATGCGTGGACGAACCCTCCGTGCGCACCACGTTGTTGTTATCGTTTGCCCTCACCAAGACTGTGCTGGGTGAATGGCACCCACTTGCCGTTGTTGCGGCGGTCCTTGTGCATTTTGTGTGCATTTCACACCTTGTAGGTGACTCTCGTGCTGAGGCTGTCAGTCATTCCTGTGCGTATTTTATTCTATTCTTCCTTTTGACTGCTGGTTAGTATTCAGCTTTAACTCAATCCAACTAAGAAAGCAAGGAGAAACAATGTCCGGAAATAAAGCGTCTGCTGTGCCGCAGGGAGATCGTCAGAGGAGAGCGAGGCCGGCGTCTGAAGGTGACACAGATCAACCCGCTGCGACACACACAAGAGACGAGGAAGCGCAGCGACCACAGTGGACGATGAGCAGCAGCGTAGAGGACATTCTGCTGGAGGGAAGCACTAGCAGCACTGAAATGAAGCTGAACTATTTCCTTCGTAATTATTTTGGCGGCAGGGGCGTTGTTGACACCAATGAGAACATCTCTATTTCGGTGTTTGTTTTGAATTCCGAGATGTTTATTAACGACAATGAAATATTGGGCTTAATAACGGCATCGTCGTCATACAGAGAGCTGAAAATAGAGCTGGATGAGAGGGAAATACTATTGGAGGCTGTTAATAGGCTTCATCACGAGGGTGTGCTCTTTCTCGGGCAATGGAGGGACTATGAAGAAAAGGATACGGTCACTCCTCTTGCAAGGGGAAAATTGAACGGAGTACTCACTCAGGTACTGACAGAAGAAAGACGTGAGGCAGGAGAAAAGGCAAGGCGGGACCAACAACAAGTAATATTTAACTTATATGCTGTGATCGGAGATTTGTTGTTTGGAGGAAGAGTTCGCGTCATGGAAATAAAGCTGAATGATTTTCTTACGCTGGAAATGGAAGGCAAAGGCATTTTGCACGCCAATCGGAATGTCTTACTGAGGATTTTTTTAGTGATCCCACGAGGTATATCCGCGATGCGGGAGTATTGAACGAAGTACGGGCATCCCCTGGCTCAGCCGGCCACCTCAACGTGGTGCCAGGGTCTAGTACTCTTACTAGAGAGGAAGCCAAGCGCCTGCTGTTCATGCTTCAAACCCGATGAGTAGTTGTTACTTAGTTTTACGGGCCGGAAGGGCAGATGTTGGAGCCATTCTATAGTGGCTGCCCGCGGAGTAAGGTTATCCTTGCTACTGAATTCCTTCGTACGCTTACCAGAGCTGCACAATTGAGGCGTAGTTACTACGACTGGTAAGAGAAGAAAAAAAAAAAAGTACGGGCATTAGGTGCTTATGCGGAGATGGAGAAGACTGTACGGGAGGAAATGGGTTTGGAAGAAGATGTAAGTAAGCTTTAAAAAAATGGTGTGGACAATCTACTGAAGTGGTTGGTGGCTACTGCGGAGGTGAAAACAGGTGTTCATGAAGTCACTAAAAGGTTCTTGGATACAGCCGCCGAGGAGGCGAGGAACCCAAAGAAGTCGAGTGCACCGATATACCTGGAGGGATTGTACGAGTCTGTTTACAATGCGAGGTGGCATCATGTCGTGGAAGTCCCTGGTGACAAAGGGACGGGAATGGGTGTGAAGAAGGGGGAACCGCCGCAGTCATGGACGTGCAGGGCAGTTGGCGAAACTCTCGAAAAGGATTACAGTGTGCAGCAATCCGGTGCACCGCGTTCCAGGCTGATGGTGCTCACCTCGGACAAGGGATGGCCGTACTCGTGGGGGGGACGGAACCTATTTTTGACTGCCATGTGAACTGTGAGGTGGAGCGCGTGTGGCAGATCGTCAAGGGCGATGTAACCGAATTGTTTAACAGTCGTCCTGAGGAGCACTTTAAGCCTCATCCGCGTGTCATGATTGGGACGCCCGGGATTGGGAAGTCGATGAATGCCGGTTCTTACCTCATCTACCAGCTGCTGCACTACGATGCGGAGCAACTCCAGGTTGTTTTCTACTGTTTGGGAGATACGACGTAAGTTTTTGACAAGACCGTCAAGCGGTGTCAGTATACATGGGTGACTCCAGTAATGTGTCTGTTGTGAGGAGTTTGTCTTGGCGTGGGCTCAATGGGTATGTTGTCTACTGCGCGGCAAAGAAGGGTCGTGATCCGTCTAGGATGCGGCTTCTTCATGAATGGGGCATGGCTATGGTAACAACACCGAACGAGGGTAACTTTAAGGAATGGTACAACCAAGGGACAGCCGTAAGAATCGTAATGAATTACCCGGAAGAAAAAGAAGTGAAGGCGCCGTGCGTTTGGATGAAGCGTGACCAGCCTTTTGGTAAGCAGGCAGAGCACTGGAGGGAGGTGAAGGGTTGCATGGATAAAGTGGGACTGCTTCTTTGCTACACCTTTGATAAGCTATGATCTGGTGGTCGGATTGAGGCTTGCAACAGTACAGTTGATAAGATGACCGCTTTGGATACCAAATATTACCTTACTTTGGGATCTAATAAAATGTGAGATGTTAATAACGTGTCCCACAAGCTTGTGGATACCGTCCGAGTACAAGGAGAGCGAAATGGTGAATTGCCTTTCAATGCACCGATATCTGCCCACCTTGCAAGTAAAACATTGTGCATTTTGGCAAAGTTAGTGCCGCAGGCTGATTTTAACTTATTTGTATCGAGGGTCAGAGATTATTTCATACCAAAAATTTTGGGGAATTACACCGTGTTTGCATTTTTAAATGGGGATTCCATGGTTGCAGTAGGACTCAAACTGGAGGGGCTGAGGCCACCAACACGACGTCAGTGACACCGCTGTGCGCCGGAGGTGTACTCACAGGAGGGCTCCACCGGGCACAATTTTTTCCCGTCTGTGGAACACCGTTACCAGAAGACTGATGTAGAGTGCGGGGTGCTGTACATTCCGTAGGTCGAAACTTTCCGCTGGTGGACGGCTTTTTCTTTGTTGATTCGCCGCGGAAGACGCTGGTTGGGCTGCGGATGGCTACGGCGGGTGGGTACCACACGACAACCAGCGCTGTGAGGCAGTGCAATGAGCGTCTGGCGGCATAATTTAATGGTTGGGAGGAGTTATTTCGAGAAATTTTGTGGGAGATTATTTATGTGCAACACGCAGACAGGGTGCTGATGGGTGGCTGGCAGAGATGCGGCGCGGTTGAGCACCCGACTGAGGGTGAGTGTAGGGAGGCGGCGGTGGCTGTTGCGGAATTTGGGCTGAGGAAGGGATGTCGGTGCCAGGTGGGGGATGGCGGATGCAGAAGTACGTGTCTTCTACAGTGAGTGAAACAGGCGCATGTTTCTCCCCGAGACTCCCCGTGTTGCTTTGCCTCAACGAGCACTGCGGTGTGTCTGGGAGGTGGAAGGGATCGCATTTTGGATGGTACTGGCGGTAGTGGCATTGCTACGTGTTTGTTGCGTGGCCGCACCGCTGAGGCGTTGTCTTTGTGTTTGTGTGTTGCTACCGTCATCATTGCCGCTTTTTCTCGTGGAGCGGATTGTAGTGGATGCTGCGTTGTATTGATTTTGTTTGTGAATTTGTTTTGCACCGCCTTTCGCTCCCGCAGCGCAGCGCTGATGTGGGTGGTCGGCACTGGGAAGTCGAAACGAGCCCGTGAAACGGGGTGCCGTTGACATGCGCCCCAAATGTCATGACTGATGGTTCTTGGGGATGGGATGGGGGATGCGGGGAGTGGGTTTCTTGTGAATCTGTTTTGGTTTGTTTCCCGTTTGGGGGAGCAAACTGTGAGCACTCCGTGGGTGTGCGTCTTTCTTCTTGGGTTTTTGCCCAACGGTCACCACCGCCTTCCTTTTTCTTCTCTTGTGAGAGAGGAGGACAGTGTGCGACTTTGTGGGCTACGCGTTGCTGGGGACCGTTACTGTTGTGTGTGTGCGTGCATGCATGCGGTTTGGGGCTGGCAACAGTCGCTGCCCGCTGCCGTCGCCGGAACACACAAGGCCCAAGCAAGTGAATGGAAGGACGATAGAGCATTCACGGGACTCTCACAACACTCGAGGCACAAACCCCACGCCCGTTGAAGTACGCGGATGCCTGTTTTTTGTCTACGCGATGCCTTCTGCTGTTGCGCTAAACAGCTTCGACTGACGACGGAGCAGGCAGGGGGTCATAGAGGCGGAAACCAAGCGGATCGCCGCCCCAACTTTGATGCGTTCTTCCGTGTCTGTGAGCGTCACTTTTTGAGCCACCCTCTGCATCCGCGGAAGCAGCGCGCCGTTGCTGAGCAGCACGAAGGGCGTGTTCTGTTGCCCACGCACCGTGCTTGCTGTTTTTTCACGCAGGCGCCGCGTTTCTGCTCGCTGAGTTGTGCCCGGCCGCCGCTCCATCCGCAGCGAGACTCTGCCGGCGTGTGTTGCAGTGACGTCGGTAAACGCATCTGGCTTTGTGCCGACTGCTGAGATTTGAGGCGCAGCCTTGGCGCCCCGCAATGCGCGGCCCCGTCACATGCGTGGGACCGTGGACATGCAACGTTTTTGCCGACGCGCTGTTCAACGTCTCTTGGCGGATGGTACGCGTGTTGGTGTGCGGACGTGCGTTAGTGTGTGCGTGACGGTGGTTTGTCGCGTCCTTCCCACATTTGCGGCGTCGTTGACCCTCCGGCTGCGTGGGAATCACCCGTCGATTCTTGATGTATATTTTTTTGAAACTGCGGTCGTCTGGAGCTACTTCCACGTCGATGCGGGGCTTAATTCCGCCTAGCGCGTTGTGGCCATGAGGAGCGGATCACGGTGGGTAAATAACGAGCGTGATGACGTGGCTGTGGTTCTCATTGTGCAGCCTGGCGGTGCGCCTCTTCTGTGCTCCCTTCTTATTGACGCAGTTGCATGTAAGCTCGGTGAGCCGCGCCTGTTGCCGAGGGCCGCATGATCCAAGACGCACTGCCGGATCAGCGGCGCTTCAGACTTCCTTGTTGTCGGGAGTTCCGGGCATCCTACTCAAGAACTGGCTGTACTGCTTGTCGAACCACGTGGCCGCCTCCGTCGTGTGCCGCTTTGCGTGCGTGCATAAGGGGAGGAATGTGAGGCGGGGGAGTGCGGGTTGCAAGGGGAGCAGTCACCGTGACTGCACACTGGAGAGACGAGTGAGCTGTTCTTTACGAGGAAGTTGGCTTATTTCTTCCTCGGGGCGGAAGGCTCTGCCCCCAACAGTAATTCTACGCAACGAGAAGGCACGAGGCCCTTCGCAGCCGCGGCACGACGTCGATGCTCGTGGCAGGCACCTCTTTACTTTAAATTATTTATAGATCATTTGTTGATTAGTTTATAAGGGACTTTTGAAGAGAATGAACGCGGGAGGGCTGGCTAACTTACTGTATATATTCTGATAAGCGAATGCACTCCTTTACGACACCTTTCCTATCTTATGAATTCCTGGGAAGAACACGAATTTAATGGTGCAGGAAACCGATAGAGGCCAGATAATGTTTTGTTTTTATTTTTAAATTTACTGACACAGCGAGGTTGGTTTAAGGAAATGGCCTTTGTTCATTTCACTGCCTTCGAGTGGAGCGATATTGGTGCCCGTTTTTCGGAATTGGCGCGCCAACATGGCACCAACGAGGTGCAGATAAGGTTCATTGACGAAACCGGGGATGTCGGAGGCGTCGTTAACTGTGGCCACCTCAATGACAGGCTTACACTTGATTTTGGGATCTACCACCAAACCCTGGGGGATTCAACCCTTACGAGACATCTGGCGAATCCCCGGGCGCCCCAAGTACCAAATTGCAAGACCCAAGTGGTCCTGACCGTCATGCGGGCGGCCCGCGAGTTGGGGGGCAAGAAAGGGCTCCTCATCGCCGAAAGGGGAGCGATTGAGCAATGACTACGCCTACGCCGCCGTGGACGTGCAGAATCAAAGCGTTCAGCTTAATTTGCAGGCGGAAGAGGCGCATAACAACCTATCGGTATGCGAATCTGACATTGTGGTCGCCGGCAGCCTTCTTGCAGAACGGGAATGCGCGCTCGCCGGACGCGAACAGCAGTTGGAGGCAACCCGCGCCCAGCTAGAGGAACGAGAGGCACGCGTTGGCGCTAAAGAGGCGTAGCAACCCGCGTGGGATGCGGAGACGGCGAGCCGGGAAGAAGTCTCCACCTGTCGGAGAGGCCCGACAGATGGACCTGTCGCGCGTCACAATAAGACCGAATACGGCGTTACAACACAACCAGAGCAGACGCGTCGCTTAACGGCTGTGGGCGCGTCGTCACGCACGGCCCAACGAAGGCCGGCGCGAGAGACGGCAGGCTGTTCCCCAGTCGTCTCAGGGAAATTTGTTTTGACCACATTTCTGTCCCTTGATGCCTTTGCCTTCCTGCACATCCCACTTGAACGCCCATTCTGGTCAAGAAGAAGAGCAACTGAGTTTCTGCGCATTCGACGTCACCACTCGGCCCTCGCGTATATGGGATGAGGGCATTTCCGGAGTCGTTGTTGACCTCCGGGGCGCATACAATTATTGGCAACAGACGGAGGACCAGGTCCAACTTTCCATCGACCGTTTCGTTGCGTGGATGTGTGCGCTGGAAGCGGTGCAGGATCCCACCGACCGTTTCATGGATTTGGACGGGATCTTACTGCGGGCATTCCGGATGCGGCTCATGATGGCATCCGATCCCGGCATCCCGGTCTTCAACATTCGCACCCGTCTTTGCACCGCCGTTTATGAGGCTGACACCTTTGCGAGGGCAACCCAGCTTCTCGCGAAACGACGAGGGACGCAACGACCGTTGCGATGCCAGTTATTTCATGTTTATGGACACGTAACGTCTAAAAGCAACGTCCGAGACGCAGCTGGAGGAAGTTACTCGCAGTACGGACGGCCATTAAAAAACGGCAGAGGGGCTGATTGCTGCTTCTCATGAAAGCGGACGACGGCAGCCCCATCCATTCCACCACCTCCCGCTATTCCGCAAAGACGTCGCACCGCACCTCCGATGCTTCATCCGATATTACAAATTGCCCGACGCAATCATCGAGAAGAGAAATGGAGCTTATTTGCTAACGACGCTCGACTGTGGTACGACGAATTACCGACATCCCCGCTTAGGGTCGGTTATATGAGGAAGGCAAACGAGGTGGCTCGAGAAATGTGCGCGCCGTCAACGTGGGAGCGTGGAATGTCCCTCGCGGGGCAATTCACAACCTTTTGCCGCGCGCACGAAAGCACGATGAACGAGAAGAGCTTTGCGGCCTTTTTGATGGCAATCGAAGTGGCGCCATCGACCCGACCGCAGTACGCCAGGATGCCGCGGTCCATGTTGCAAGTGAATGGAACCCCGCTGGACATGATGATTCTGGGGCTAGAAAAGAAATTGCGGCGCGATCGGTGGTGAAGCAGGCGCACCCCTTGACAAAGGAAGAGATGAATCAATTAATCCGCAGCCGGACCGATTGGAAGGAACGTGTTGTCTTACGACTCGCGTGGATAACGGCGAGTCGTTGGTGCGAGATTGAGGCCTTGACTCCCAAAAATTTCACACGGGAGCCGGACGGGAGCATAATTGTTGGATAGGTCCGTGGCGCCGAAGACGGCGAGGGTGGACCCCCACCGCACCTTGCGGTTCGTGAGGATACGAGGGCAGGACGCCTTCCACACTATAAATTTATGCAGGACACTTCAAGAAAACGAAAAGCTCACGAATCTTACGAATGCCAAAGTCGAACGAGCTTTGGCTCCCTGGGAAGCCACGGCGCATTCCATAAAACGGGGTGCGTTGCGGCACGCTGCTCAAATCGTGGAGACATACAATTTGGACCCACACGTGATCTTGCAGTTGGCGGTGCACGTCGGCCCGTTCGACCTTCCCCAGAATACTGTTCGATATTTGGGGAGGTACACCACAATGCTGACCCAGGTGTCGTCGCTGGTCGCATTGATGTGAAGGGAGACACTGCGGAAGGGCAGGAACTCTGGTTGAGAACGGAGGAGCGTTTTTCCATGATTTTAATCACAACCATGCTGCTACAATAACGAGACGCGCGACAAGGACGCGTCCGGCCACTCCACACGACGAACGAACCATCCCGTTACAGCAGCAAGTCAACGTGACCGTATTGAATCTAGAGTGGAACAAAAGCCTGCTGAACCCGGCTACCTTGGAGAGTCTCATGCAAGCATGGGGACTCGTCGGGCGGCCCCCTTTCCCTCCTTCTTCCTCCGGTAAAGCGCGCAAAGGCTCACGGAGGATTTCAGAAGCTGACGCGCGTTTGTTACAAAAAGCGGGAGTAGTCGAGGACGCTTCGTCCACAATAACAGGCGGATGGATAATACTCTTTTGGTTGTGGAGGAGAAAACCGCCGGTTTACGACGACGATGGATCGCGTGGCCACGCGACAGGAACAGAGACGACCCTTATGAGGCTAATGTTCCTCTTTTACACATTTCCCATTATTTGCCACCTGTGATGGCTGAGGCCGCTTCCTGCCTGGATTTAAAGGCATCCTTTTTTCAATTCTCTTTACCGCGGGAGACTCGGCATCTATTTCGATGCCGCGTGGAGGTCGGCACGCTGGTGGAGCTCACACGGCTCCCTATGGGATACATGGCCGGCCCACAAATTCTCCGGATTATTATTTCGGCGATTGCGGGGGTGACGGCGGTGGTTCACTTCCTTTGGGCTGCACCTCCATCGGTGCGTGTCGGCGTTTGGATCGATGATATACGCATTGCAGGGTCGAAAAGCGATGTGACATTGTGGGAAGCCCAAGTGCTTCGCAATGCGGACAGTTGTCACGCATCCATGGGGAAGGACCGCGAATCGGGCGCTACGCAGTACACCTTTCTGGGGGCGCAGTTTGATCACACTCACCGGGCGGTATCCCTGAGTGACAAGTTTGTCCGCTCTGTACGCGCCATGCCGGCGCTTAATTCTTTGACCATCGCGGAAATGGAGGTTATGGCGTCACGCTTTTTGTACGCGGCCGCCATTTTGTGCACGCGTTTATGCGACTACTACTTTTTCATCAAGGCAGTGCGACGACGATTACCCGCACTTAACCGGGGAATTGTAATGGAGAAATCCCCGGCGAACCTTCCGTCGGCAGCGGTCGGTTTGGGCGAGAGATTGCGACACACCATCGAGAACAATCGCAAGCGAATCATCAAGCTTACCGAGAAAGCATCGGTTGCCATCATCACGGACGCATCGCTCCATGGATGGGGAGCCGTTTTTATTCCAGACTTTGTCGACGTTAAAATTGCCGGAGGGAAATGGGGGAAGAAACCTTTTCTTATCATGCAGGCCGAGGCACGCGCGGCACGCTTGGGTTTATCGGCCTTTCCCGCCGCCTTGCCACCCACCATGGACGTTTGGGTGGACAACACTTCGCTGCAAGGAGCGGCGAATAAAGGCAGCTTGAAATCGCACGCGTTGACGCGGGAGCTGCAACGGATATACGAGTTTTTGGACTCTCACGGAATACATGCATCCTTTGCTTACGTACGGCCAGCGTAAAACACCGCAGACGGCATATCACACGGTCGTGTGTTTTTGCACTTCAGGACTTGGCGAGGGGAGCGGCGGTGTCTTGTGGCTGGAGGACCCCAAAGTCCGCCACTTCGTAAGCAATAATATTTAAATCCTAACTGAGTACAAAAGGTCACTTTAGCGCTCAAAGGAATATATATATATATATATAATCAGAAGAAAGCATTGAGGTAATTAAATGCCTCTGCATTAATTCCCTTTTTTTCCCTATCTTGTTTGGTTTATATGGATAATTTTAGGATCCGGCCAGCGACCCAGAAGATTATTCGGGCTTGTTATTTTACTGATTATTGGCAAAAACGGATGATTGAGCCACCGCGATTGACCGTGGAGGATGCGTAACAAGTGTGTGTTTCACGCCCTCCACTGCAGCGCCCTCTCCTGGGGCCGGGACTCTTCTTCACATCCCTACTTATTGGGCGGATGTGCTCGACGATGGTGGCTGGCGTGCGGCCATGGGAGTTATTTGAGAGTAGTCAATGCAAAAGAAGAAACGGCCACTGCACGGCTTTGTGTTTTTTTGTGTGGGTTGCGGCGCCTCCACGTCCTATTGAAATGATGGAGTACTTATTGTATTTTCATTTTGCTTGCGCTACGCAGCTTCCCCTTCTTGGTCACGGTGACTGCGTGCTCGTCGCGCGCGCCGCATCGTCTGCTGTTGTTCCCTCGTTGTGTTGGGGGAGTGGGCGAGCGACGGCTTTGGTGGAGTGGCGCCCCAGTGGGAGAGGGAAGGCACCGACCGCTGCTGAATGCGACAGTCTTTGCCGCAGGCGATCTGGAGGGATGGTGTCGTTGTTGCCACGAACAACTGAGATGGACGAGGACCGCACTGCGCCTCTTTCCACTTTCTTCATCATTGCATTTTTCTGTAGACACACGCACCGCACGGCAGCGACGCGACCACCATCCAGGCGGCTGCGAGCCAATCGGACTGTGCAATTGACGTGGACTCTTGTCCCCCGTGACTGGGGGCCGCCGCCGTGCTTCTTCATCCCTTCCTTCTGTGTGTAATGCCGTGTGCGCTTATGGTACCGCTGTTTGCTGTGCAATGCCGACCCACGTGAGCGAGAAACGACACTCTGACAGCTGGCAACTGGCGAATTCTCCACCCCTATTCCGCGTCACCAATAACACCTTCTTTTACGCGCTTGAAGGCTGCTGGTTGCGACGCCGCCATGCGGGTCTGTCTCGGCTCTTGTGTGTCTTTCACTGCATCGGGACTGCTCTGTGATGTAGCCATTCGGCAACAGGAGCGGCGGCAATGGTCATGTGCCTCCTCTCCGGGATTGCGCCACTCGGCATGGTGGTTGTGTGGAGCTGCGTGGGCGGTGGGAGGGCGAGGGTGTCACTGGCGTGGTTGCGTCTGTGCTTTTTTGTGTCGGTGGTTGTGCTTTGGTGGGGACTGTCTGTGGCCGTATGCTTCTGCGTGCCAATTTCTTTAGTTGCTGTTGTCTCTGCCTTCCTTTCCTCCGATCAAGCAGATAGAGATACTTTGGATTGACCATCACAAATATCGTTTCAAGCTATTAGGGATTAATTGCAGTATTAGGAATAGAAGAAGTAGTGGGTTAACGATCTGGCGGAATTGTGTCATTGGATTCGCCATTTGTAGAAAGGGATCTGCGAAGCAGGAGTTATGGTCGACGGGGCGAGTGCGACACGCCACGGCGGCCCTGTTGATACCTGTTTGGGTCTGTGGATATGGTCTGCGGAGGGTGCGTGTCCGCGCGGCCGGCACCGTGTGCGGCGCATGACCATTGCGGCTGTGCGTGTGGCGCTGCTCGTTGTGTTGGCGCTGGTTGCTGCTGCTGTGTGGATGCCCGCTGTGCATGCGGTGGTGTTGCGACTGCGGGGCGGCACGGTGGACAGAGCCATCACGGTTGGCCGCGCCGTGGACACGGTGCTGATGGACGGCGTGTACATCACGAACGGCGTGGCTGTTGTGTTCGACGTGCCTGCGATGCTTCCCGGCGCGCTGCGCATCGAATTGAGGAACTGCGTGTGCGACGGCGGTGCGCAGATCTACGTGCGGGGCTACGGCGGCGAGCCGGCGAGTGACCGGAGCCTGGAGGTGAGCGTGAGCGGGCTGTCCGGGAGCTACTGCTCGCTCGTGTTTGTGCACAACCTGCCGGCACACACGAACGTGACGGTCCGTGACTCGACGATTGTGACGGCGGGGCCGATGCGCTACTCGCAGCTGAGCGGGCTGACGGACGCTGTGGCGTCGCCGCTTGTGCTGCACGCGACCTCGCTGTTGCAGACGCAGCTGCGTGTGAGCAACACTGTGCTGAGGTCGTCGCAGGCGGGCGGGTCGGCGGTGTACGTTGGCGGCGGCGTGGACCTGCTGTCGAGCGCGGTGGTGCTTGACGGCGTGTCGCTGGAGGCGTCGGGCGGTCCTACCGCGTCCGCGATGCATGTGGCGTCCTCGTCGCGTCTCAGTCTGCGGAGCCACTCGGTGTTCTCCGTGACGAACGTGTCGGTTGTGAGCAGCGGCGGCGGCATTGTGCTTGGCGAGCGCCTCGCGGTGTCCGACTCGGTGCTGCGCTTCGTGGGTGTCGAGGGGTCTGTTGCGTCGTCGCTGGTGCGCTGCGACGGTGGGACGGTCGGTGTCGGCGGGTGGCTGGAGCTGCACGACGTGTGGGCGGTGGGCGAGGCGTCGTCGGTGGCGTCGCTGTCGGGGGTGACGCTGAGCGGCGGTGCCGTGTCTATTGCGCGCTGCGCTGCCACTGGCGCGACGCTTGTCTCCGGGCTGACGATCACGGGCGGTGTCGTGTCGGTGCAGTGCAACCGTGCCGGCGGCCGGGTGCTGCAGAGCAGCGGCGACTACCGCATGGCCGGCCTGCCCTCCGTGAGCGTGGTGCCGTGCGACGGCTGTGCGGCCGCGCTGGCGTGCTTTGATGCGCTGACGGCGTCGTTCTCTGACTGCGTGTGCAGCTGCCGTGCCGGCGGCGTGGGCAAGGCGTGCCTGCCGTTCGACGTGCCGCCTGCGAGGGCCGGCGGTGGTGGCGGCGGTGCGGAGGGCTGCGTGAGCGGCGTGACGCTGACGGAGTCGGTGACGGTTGGCGGCGGGCGTGCGACTGCGTGCTTCGACTCGGTGGTGCTCAGCGGGCCGATCACCGTGGCGGTGGACCTGCGCTTGATGGACGCGTTCGCTGACGCGCTGAACGTGACGCTGCGCCACTGCGTGCTTGCGGGCGGCGCGCAGCTGCGGATCGGCGGCCTCAGCGAGAGCACGGCGCACCTGATGCCCCACGCCCTCGTCAACATGACGAACGTGACGTCGCTGGAGGGCACGATCGTGCTGCATGGCGCGATGCCGCTGCACTCGAGTGTGCTGCTGGCGAACTCAACGCTGCGCGCGACGGTTGGCGGGTCGCAGTACGTGCCGACGACCCATAGACACGAGGAATTTCGGTACGGCCCCGCGCTTGTCCTGGACGGCGTCCGGCTTCTGTCGACGCGGTTTGTCATGACGCGGTCGACGCTGGTGTGTGGCGGGGGCTCGTGCGCTGCGATCCTCGTGGAGCGCGGCCTCGCCGTGAACCTGTCCAGCGTCTTCTACATGGACAACTGCGTTGTTGGGTCGCAGATACACGTGATTTACGCTCTTGCGTCGGACCTGCGTGTCAGCGGCGGCTCCGTGTTCTCCATACAGAACAGCTCGTGGATTGCTCCGAGCACCGAGTTCTACAAGGGCGCATGTGTGTTTGAGGACGTTGTTTTGGATGGTGGCAGCGTGCTGCAGATTGTGTCCAGCACGTTCCGTCTCGGCTTCGCCATGCTCATTGCAAACACGCTGACTGTGACTGGCGGCAGCTGGCTGGTGCACCGCAACAACGAGTTCCGCACCGCCTACGTTGTGCACGTGGCCAACGAGAACGGCATGGTGTTCCGCGTTCGGAGTGTGTGGTCGATACTTGACAACAACTTTACGTACGGCTCGTACTCGTCGACCATTGCACACATGACAAGCAACTGGCCACCACCATCCGACTCGCTCCCGATCATCTACGGCATGTGCAACGAGCTAAGGGGCTCTCCTGTGACGGATTACGGAGACGACCTCAATATTGGAGCACCCGTGGCGGTGTTGGACTGCGGCGCGTGCACTGTGGACGCTGTGTGCTTTGAAGCGAGGACGAGCAGCATCAGCGGCTGTGAGTGTGTGTGCGCTGCTGGCGGCTACGGTGACACGTGTGTGCCGGCTGCGGTTCCGGACGGCCTTGGGCCGCTCCCGCTCCCCGACGCGAAGGACACGGAGGTCCGCTGCGTGCACGGTGGCAGCATCAGCTCCGTGGACTATCCTGATCCCGGTGTGCGTGGTCTGTGCTTTGTCAACGTGACCTTCACCGCCGCGATTGTGCTGGACCTGTGGAGCTTCGACGCGCCACAACAGACACTCAACATCACGCTGCTGCAGTGCGTTCTCATGGGCCTGTCGATCAAGGGGAGTGGTGCGCGCGTGCACGTGAACGTGACATCCTCGATGCTGGATGCCGGAGCGTTGGAGTTTGAGGGTTATTTTGGCGTGAGCTCCCAGATACTGGTGGCAGGCAGTACGCTTGTGACGGAGTCGGACCACGCTATTGCCTTTTCGGAATTTTCCCTTGGTGCGTGCTCGGCGCTGCTGCTACTTGACAACTATATCGAGGGGGATATTTACGCAGTCTATTTTACCATTGCTGTTGTTGTTGATGGTGGCGGGATCATTGTGAAGGGAAATACGCTGAGTACGATAGAGAATAACGGTGTGGAATCATCTGTTTGCGTTTACGCTGTTGACGTGAAGAACGGCGGCTACATTGACGTGGAGAACAACACGATGAGGGCGGCTAATGGCATTTATCTTTTTGGGGATACCACCGTGAGCTCCGCGGGGCTGCTGCGAGTGGCGGACTGCACCTTCGTTGGCAGGAAGGAGAGTTTTGATTCCACGCTGTTGTATTTGGACGGTTCTGTGACAGTCGAGGGTGGTGCGCAGTGGCGTGTGGAGGGCAACAACGTGAGCGCAGCCTCAGTGATAGGTATGCCTAATTCCAAGCACAAAATGAGGCTGTCGGGCAGCAGCACCACCGTGGTGTTATCGAACAACCGTCAGGTAGACAATAGTTATTCCTTTGCGAAACTTCTTCCATTGAGCACAATTGTGACGTTACCCGCACGGTTTGTGGTTGGGTGCAACCTGCAGGGCGATGAGGAGGTGTCGTGCGACGGTGTGTTTCCGGAGGACGTGGTGGTATTCGGGTGTGGCACGTGCAACGACGACGCGGCGTGCTACATGCCAGGGACGGAGTTGGTGGACCGCGGCTCGTGCTCGTGCAGCTGCAAGGACGGATGGCATGGCGCGTCGTGTCTTCCCTTCGAGGTGCCCGACACGGTTGTGCCGCCCGTAGCGGAGAGAGCCGTTGACGGCGACACGAGCTGCGTGGTGAACAAGACGCTGACGAACCTCACGCTGACCATGTGGAAGACGCACCACTGCTACGTGGGTGTGACATTCAGCGGCGTGGGTGCTACGCTGACGTTTTTCCTCAACAGCATGCCGCTGCATCTCCCCATCAACATCACGCTCACTGGATGCACATTCCGCGACGGGGCCGTGCTGCAGTTTGTTGGGGGTGCTGCGGCGTCCAAGTCAGCCGGCGTCCTGATCCGCGTGAGCCGGACGGTGATGCGGTCCTCTGTTGTTGTGTTTGCACTTGCCTTCCCGCAGCACTGCGACATCGCCGTCACGGAGGTTGACGCGGTGCAGACCCTCATGGTCCGGCTGCTTGACCTTATGAGCAACATGCTGAGCGTGGTGCTGCTGCAGAACTTTTTTTTGGATGCTTCCTCGCTTTTGGTCAGCAACGTCAAGGCGCATGCATTGAGGTATGGGGGGTCTGGTTTGTACTCGATCGGGACGCTGACGCTGGTGGGTGGCAGCTCGCTCTATGTGCGGTACTGCAGCTTTGATGGGTACACGCATATGTTTTACGTGTACGGGTTCAGTGTCCGTGATCACTCTGTTT